ACCAAGCCCTGGTCAGCTGGGGAGGCACTGACAATTACGAGTACCAATTTGAGCCTGAGGCAACCAATGCCTTTGAGCCAATTGTCAACGGAGACATAGAGGCACGGAAGGTGAGGTCTTTTTTATTAGCATTTGTTTTGATTTATTATTATTATCATTCCTTTTCATTATTATCATTGAAAACCATTATTTTTATTATTTACATTTTCCTTATTCAGCTACCCAGATGCTGCTTATAGAGTCTCATTTTGTTGACAGTTTATGTGGATAGTTATGAGGAAGTTTCCATATAATACAAACCTGACTTTCAATTAACTTTTTCAGGTCCACTTTGCTGAGGGTAGTGCTCAGCCACCTGCGTCACCTCTCAGGGGTAAACCACAGCTTAGACGCACAATATCAGCCAATGGAAGTAAGTTAGAATATCGCTCTATAAGGTCAGCATGAAAGTGTTTGACAAAAGGACCATGGCTTTAAGTAATGTAGCCATTTTTATAAATGATTGTGAGAGATAAGATTGTTTACTATTTATGAGATGAATAGCAAAGATGAAACAAAGTTTTTACTGATATAGGTTTTTGATTTAAAGTAATGTATGGAAGAGGTATCATAGTATTTATGATTCAGGGGATCAAGCCAATAATGGCAAGCAAAAAATTTGGCAAGTGGACATGATGGTGGGTTTATTGGTGCACATCGACAGTTTCCCCTGTTTGCGCCAGATTCAATCAGTAGTTTGTGGGCAACATTAGACACCTAAAAGCTTGTATTTTGGTACAATTTTTAAAAACATAACATTTTTGAAGGGTTACCTTCACTTTAGGTCCTACTATCCAAAAAGTTTACTATAGAAATGATATTGCTTCTATTGAAGAAAAACAAGCTCTGTACGATGAGCCAATGGTGCAGGAGTGGTTGTAAGCAATGCCAATACTTTTTTGTCCACAACAGTCATAGCTTGTACATGCCACCCGGCGTGAATTAGTAAAGAGGGAATAAATAAGTGATAGTTAATTGAGAATGAATAAATGAGCTTCAGACAAATCTCTGGTTTTATCTTTTCATGGAAACCTTCCTGTGCAGAATATGGGATTCATTTTACCTGATCTTGGATTTCTTCTATTAATTTTCCTTCTTCCATGTCCTCATTGTTATTAGAAAAAAAAAAATAGTATATGTTTACAGTATAGTGGTAATGTATAACTCTGTGGTATATGAATTCTTGTAACATTTTTGAAAAGAATCAGTAACTAATAAGAGAAATAGTCTATCAAAAGACTACATTTATTTTAGGTGAACAGAATTTTATATATTCCATTTTTGTATTTTGTTGTATTTCACTGTTTTTTGTATTTGCATTTACTGAACTGTTTAATGTTTATATACCCCTCTTCAATATTTTATCATTATGTTGTAGATTTTATTGTTAACACATCTCCTTATTGCAGAGGCCATCATAGATATCGACCCAAGCGAAGAATTGCTGTTCAGCAACTGCCGAATTGGTGCGTCGACAAATATTATACTGACGAACCCCACTGACAGCCCTGTGGCCTTCAAGGTAATACCAATAATGTTTTTTTAAAAATTATAGAAGAAAGTTGAAATATGATTAATTAAGAATACTAAATGGTACAAGAACATCTTATCACTGATATTAGTATTGAAATTTATTTTATTTATTTATTTATTATTACTTTTTAAAAATCTTTTTGTACCTAGTACTTTGACTTTCTTGTACATATGTATATAATGGGATGCTTAACCCGTAGCCGACGGGTGGCATGTACGTACATGCCATGGCTGTTGTGGACTAAAACACGGATGGCATCGTATCATGCCCATTCCCACGCCACTGGCTCGTTGGACAGTTTGTTTTTCTCCAATAGTAGCGGCTTTTATATGGTATATAAGATTTTAGGCAATGGCAGCTATAATGAAGGTTAACCTTCAAAATTATAATACTTTTATAAAAATAAAAGCTTTTAGGTGCAAATGTGTAAGGAAATGCCCGGCCGATGCCAAACAATCTGCCGATGTGTGCCAACAATCCTGTTCTTACGTCCACGTGCCAAACATTTTTACCTGTCGGCACTGGGTTAATTATTTATTAGATCATATTCATTTATTTTATTATTATTTATTACTATATATAATTTGCTAGGATTGTCTTTATATATATACCTAATGTTCTTTTAAGTTAGCATTAAACATAGTTGAACCTAAGCCTAGGGGATGATTCACAAAGTAAAGATCAAAAAGAAAAATTGAATGTTTGTACCCATGGTTAACCCACTTGCGCGGGTGTCTCACATGTGAGACACTCGAAAAAAAAAAAAACAGCTCATGCTCTGATTTTATCACCCGTGGCGGGTGGCGGTCAGGCCAGTTCCTGGACTGGCCCGCGTGCAGATTTTGAAACTGCCTGGAGAACTATTATTTTTGGCTTGAAAATATACCAGCGCTAGTGGGTTAACTTGGCTCTTATCAAGAAAGTTGGATTCTTTTTGCAGCTGGTATTTGGCAGATTCCCCTTTTGCTTCTGGCTTATGGGGATTTCAGTTACAACTTTGGGTGCATAATAATTTGTTTAGTTTATAAGCAAATGTTTAAAGGAATTGAGGTTTTCCTTCACTTTAGGCACATGTATCTAATATTGACAACAAACAAGTGATGCTGCTACTGATGGAGTAAGATGAACTCCTTTGATGGACCAGTGGGATAGGGCATGTCATATTGCATTGCCTGCTGTGACTAAGGCCAGCACAATCATGGCATGATTACATGCCATCCTAATTTTATGGGTTGAGAATGGCCATTCTTCAGCCCACCTTACACCCTTGCCAGAAGTTTCATCTTTTATCAAGGGTAATTTGATATCTAATTTTGATCCATTTAATTTTGCATACCATAAAAGATATGGCTTGCTGGTTTGTCACTAAGATTTCCACTCCCTGAACTTAACCGTGTGCTGGGATCATGTGATCATCTGCTTGAATGAAACATCAGAATATTGAGGAGAACATGTTTACCTAGCTTTGTGTGCCTGTGGCTGCAGCACACGTGATTTTCCAGCATGTTAGTCAAATACAAAGCTTTCACCCTACATTTTAGGGGTGTAGCTCATAAACTGCTGTGCCCAGAGCCAAACAAGTGAACAGCTGTTTAGGATGCACAGTTTGGAGCTGGCTGACCGTGCCTATCTTTGCCAACCTTGCTCAGACTCCATATCATCTCTCGATGTAGTGAATAGCTCAGTGCAAGAAAAAAGATATGGAACATTAGGTTAATTGTGTTTTATATCTTGATTTTTTGCAATTTTCAATTTGGGTAATACAACCTGTGCTGCCAGTCACAGCAAGCCATCCAGTTGCAGTATTCTATTTCTGCTATTAATATTGAAAGTGACTGAGCTAGAAATTGTGATTTAAAGGTGTACTTGGGCTTGTCTTATATTATTATTGTCATCATCATTATTATTGTTTATATCATCGTCATCATCATTGTCATCATCAATTGTTAATTGTTACTGAAAGTCAGTGTTTTTTAACTAGAAATTTAATTTTATTAAAGTAAAATTAGAATAAATTCTCAAATAGGTTCATGAAAGATAATTCAAGGATGATCAGATTCTCATTATTATTTTTGCCCATTCATAACTTTAGAAGAAATCAAATTAAATGAAATGCAAAAAAATTTACCACAAAAGTGATTTTGTCTTGTACCCTTCCCTCCCTCTCAAAATAGATCAAGACAACCTCACCAGAGAAGTATCGTGTACGTCCATCTGTTGGTGTCCTGGAAGGGGGAGCTCAGCTGGACATCAGTGTGACCGTGAGTGAGCAGCTCGCCCCGGCTGCACTGGTCAGGGACAAGTTCCTTGTTATGGGAGCCCCAACTTCAATACCGGATATGAATTCTCAGGAAGTTTCACAGCTGTTCAAGGTAAGACTGGGTGCTTTTATGCTTTTGATGTAGATGAGTGTGTGCACACTGACCCCAACCCATACCCACCTATACTTACCCATGCCCACTCATTCCTGCCAGTACCCTTCCACACCTACCCATCCACACACACACACAGACACACATGTATGTATATGCATAAATATATATTTTCTTAAGATAGTAAAGTTTTTTTTACCTGTTTCAGAACATCAGCAAGGATGATCTTTTTGAAACACGCTTACGAGTAGGAGTCTCTGCTGTTGACTCAAGTCATGAATCGTCTTTAACTGGTGGTCAGGCAGCTCCTGTTTCATCATCAGAGCTTATTTCAAAGGTAAGTGAAAAAAGGTTAATGAATAGAATACAAAGAGATAAATATATATAATATACTGTAGAAAAATGGACATTGATTCAATATTGCTGATTGTACATAATTGCTGACGCAAGCCTGGCATTCACTTGGCGTGGTGGACAAGAGCACCTGCAAGTGTGGCATGGCAAGGTCCATCTGGTTTGTGGCTCACACTGCCTGGCTTTTGCTTGGCAGATAGATCAATAGATATATAGTAAGATAAACATACATAGATAGATATGTGTGTGTGTGTGTGTGTGTGTGTTTTAAATTGATGAAAATTTTTGGGCACACACAGTGGCTTTTGGAAGACTGTTCCATGCTTCAATAGTTCTATTAGGGAATCTAAATTTTATGACATCCTTATTGCCTCTCTTTACTTTCAACTTTTTATTGTGTCCTCTCGTCTTTCTTGTGTTCAATATTATAAAGTCATCTTTGTCTAACTTCACTCTTACTATAATATAGTTGAACTGCATAATCATGTCCCCCTTTTCTATCTTTCACCCAAATTTGTAAGTCCTAATTTCTCTACTCTATCTTTGTAGCTGATATCTCTTAGAATAGGTACCCATCTTGTGGCTGCTCTTTGAACTCTTTCCAGTTTGTCAATATCTGTACCGTATTCTAGACTAGGTCTTATGATTGCTGTAATGAGCTTCTTTTCCATATCTTCGTCCACATACATGAATGTGCTCTTCATGTTGGCAATGATTTCTAGCATTTTATGGACTTTATCATTTATATGATCATTTGGGCCTATGTGTCTGCTCAGGATTACCCCAAGGTAATCATAAGCAGTTGTGTTTAATATTGCATCTCCTAATTTTTATAGGAATAGTGGGTGATTTTTACTTTCTCTGAACCTGACTATGTGGCATTTCATGGTCTTGAATTCCTTTTTCCAAGCACAACTTCAAGTGAATAAGTTCTTAATTTCACTTTGGAGGAATTGGCATGAGACGTCATCTAGCAAACATATTCACATAATTACCTGGGCTTATGTTTGACGCTAAATCATTGACGAAAATAGTAAACATAATCGATGTCTAGACCAGTCCTTGAGGCACTCTGCTGGTTACTCATTGCTATGTAGAATTTTTCCCTCTGATGATCGCAATCATCTGCCTTTCATGAAGAAAGTCTTTCATCCATTAGAGGAGTTAACCTTTCACTCCTAGTTGCTCTAATTTCCATAGTAGTCTTCTATGAGTCACCTTATCAAAAGTCTTAAGAGGAGGGACCCGGGGGGGGGGGGGAGGTCAAATTGAGTTAGCTAGCATATAGTATGGGTACGTGAATGAGGAAACTACCAAACGAATATTAACCCATTGCCGACGGGTAAAAATTTTGGCAAGTGGACTTATGCACTGGCTTGTTGGTGCACATCGGCAGTTTCCCCTGTTTGCGCCCGGCTCGATCGGTAGTTTGCGAGCGACATTTAGCATCGAAAAGCTTTTATTTTGCTAAAATATTTTAAAATATTAAAATTTTGAAGGTTTACCTTCATTATAGGTGCCATTGCCATATAAATGAAGCCGCTACTATTAGAGAAAAACAACCTCCGTCTGACGAGCCAGTAGCGCGGGAATGGGCATAACATGATGCCCCCCGGCGTTTGGTCCACAATAGCCATGGCATGTACGTACGTGCCACCCGGCAGCAACGAGTTAAAGCCCAGCTATGGCTAGTTTTCGGGCAGTGCTCGCGAGACCCGCTAAACACCTGGGAGGTACGCCGCTAATGAGTACCCAAGTACACCTGTGTGGACTTTTCCTTGTTGTAATCATGCATACAGCATTTGATTATGAAATTGCGCATTGATATAAGTTCTTGAAAGTTCAAAGAAGACTTTTATACCAATATCAGAAAATAATTATATCAGTGATTTATGACAAAATATTTTGTGAAATATATCTAAAAAATAATGTAAGTTTTGTGTCCTTTTACACATGAAATGGGTTTGCATTGCTGTAGGTTACGAAGTGATCTGTACGTATACCAAATACGAAGCATTAATGTTTGAAAATAGCCATATTAGTAAGGATTAAAATATTTCCGTTAGAATTTGCTCAATGGTCGGTATATTATGGCATCGGTAAATTTTATTTGATTTTAAACTGGTTATTACCGCTGTAAAGGGCAATTCAGTACGAAGGGTGTCTAAGAGTCAGATTTTAGAACTACGGAGATATAAGCGAGATACTGAATATTTCATGTTGAAGATGATAGTATACAGTAATATCTGCTCTGAAATAAAAACCATATGGAATTTTGAACTCGTTTGTGTACGCAGTGTTTGTCTAGAGTTGAAAAAGCTATTTCATATGTTTCTTGCGTTTCTAATAAGGAATATTATGTTTAGACGTTACCATAGGTCTTAGGTACCATAAATTCAGAAATATCCAACTACACCTAGTAAAGATAATGGGTGCAAATGGTAGTCTCCTCATTTCATGCACCTATACTATACGCTAGCTAACTCAATTTGACCTCCTTCCCTCCTCCTGCCTGGGACGGTCCCCTCAAGTGCACACAGTCCACCCAACTGTCTCTTTCTTGTAATATTTCAGATGCTCAATTTGATACTCGCAGTACTGCTCAAATGACAGAGATTTGCTACACATGACCTTCCTTCTCTAAAATCAATTTGTTTATTTGATATCAGTTTTTGTGTTTCAAGGTCTTCAACCCATTGTTTCCTTATCCTTTTTAACAGCTTGCACACAACACTGGGTAACGAAATTGGTCTATAATTTAGAGGGTTTTGTTTGTTGTCGCTTTTATATAAGGGTGTAACATTGGTGAGTTTCCAACTTTCTGGTAGTTTATCTTGTCTCACTGAATTTTTTAATATTAACAATAGAGGAGTACATAATTCTTAAGTACATGCCCTAAGAACCGAGTTAGAAATCTCATCTGTACCTTCTGCTTTGGTTTTGTCTAATCCTTTTAATAGATCTTTTATTTTATTCTTTTAGAGGGTGATATTGACGGTGTTCTTTACGTTTCTACAGGAATTTGCCATGTCAAAGTATGGGTTGTGAACAAACGCTGGCTGAGATTTCTCATTTACGATTTCACACATTTCTCCCTCCTTAGTATAACCAATGTTATTGTCTTTGATGGTACTAATTTGATCTCTACTCTTAGCTTTACTATTTATTTTGTAGAGGTTAAGAAACCAAACTGGATTTTATCTCTTTATTGTTAACAAGCCAAGCACAAGTAATGTCAGGTCAGCAGTTGTGGGGCGAATGATGGTTCCGCCTCAGGTCCGGTGACTTAAGTACCTGACCGGCGATGTTAGCTCGGCTGGTTAGGGCGGCCCCGAAGTAGGGGTCAGCCAATCACAGGTCAGGTGCGGTTCTAGATTGATGGCCAATCAGGAACCGCTAGAGCACTCCCCCTCAGTATGGCAATGGATTTGGTATCCGCCATAGACTGGTGTCAATCATCTCTTTAAGGAGCTTTTGGGTGTGGGTGTGAGTGCCCACAGGTATGGCTGGTGTGCTGGAGATCGCCGGGGAGAGCCGGGGCGGCTCACCCGTCAGCTAAGGCCTGGGTAGACCTAGGTGCTGCTGGCTGTGTCTTGCTCGGCTGGAGGATCGTGAGTGATCAACTCTGCCCGGGTGCGGGAACTTAAGTGGGTCTGAGCTGTGTAAGCTACCAGGGAACGAGGGGAGCCTGTGGTCCAATAGGCGAGCTGTGAGGTGTCCGTGGTCAACCAATCAGGTCTCGGTATGCGTCGTTGAGAAGCTGCTGATGGTGAGGGCGAGAGGACAAGCTGTGGACCTGGACCCAACCTGGGGGAAGTATGCTGCGCTGCAGGTTGCGGGGGTCGGCTACAGGTACTCCCCCTCCAGTGAGGGAGCTAAGCGAGCGAGCGATAACCGTGATACTCCAGAAGGCTGGGTATTTGTGTCACTCCGGGGTCACCGGTGTAGAGGTTTAGAAACCAAACTGGATTTTATCTCTTTATTGTTAACGAGCCAAGCACAAGTAATGTCAGGTCAGCAGTCGTGTGGCGAATGATGGTTCCGCCTCAGGTCCGGTGACTTAAGTACCTGACTGGCGATGTTAGCTCGGCTGGCTAGGGCGGTCCCGATGTAGGGGTCGGCCAATCACAGGTCAGGTGCGGTTCTAGATTGATGGCCAATCAGCAACCGCTACAATTTCATGTATTTCTGATGAAGATGTTATCGAAACCGGTCAAATACATCTCTTGTGTTGTGTCTCATTCATACCTTTTCTGCATTTGTCAACATGGATACGGTTCATACTACATGGTCGCTTTTTTCTAAAGGAAAGCAGTACTCAATATCTTTAATATCATCTTTATGCTTTGTGAATGTTAGGTCAAGCATAGATAGTCTATCTAGCCCTCTTACATTGGTATGATCTGTTGCATTCTGGGAAAAGGCAGTATTCATATAAAAGACTTAGTAATCTAGCATTCCATGAATGTGGTGCACTCTGGGATTGAAACATTCCCAGTTAATTATGCTATTTAAATCCCCTGTGACAAGAATTTCTTTTTCATTGGTTTCCGAAAGTTGTAGCACTTCGTCTAAGCCCTTTATAATGTTTCTTGAATCAGTTTTTGGTAATTTTCTTGTGACCACACCAATGTATAAGGTGTCATGTACAGTGTGGTAAATATGTTTACCCTGTTAGATTCCATCTCAATTGCCTTCAGTTCCACTATGGGGGCTTGTTTAATTTCTAACTCCTTTGTAATAATTCCTTTCTTTGTTATTATTGCTAACCACCACCACCACCACCATTTCATTTGCCCTATCTTTTCTATTATAGTCTGTGAGTCCTAAAGTTACATCACCTATAGAGGATCTATTTTGGATTCAGTGATGCATATTACATCTGGTTTATTTGTTTCAGTTATTGTCTCTAGTTCTAGCAACTTTGAAGATAAACCATTTATATTTGTATAGACTATTTCTATATAATCTTTTGGTATTCCTTTGGTTTTGTGTGTGTGTGTGTGTGTGTGTGTGTGTGTGTGTGTGTGTTGTTGTGTTTGTGTTTGTGTTTGTTTGTTGTGTGTGTGTGTGTGTGTGTGTGTGTGTGTGTGTGTGTGTGTGTGTGTGTGTGTGTGTGTGTGTGTGTGTGTTCGTTCAAACATACATATATATAGATATTATATACTTAGACATACATGGACACATATATTTATATAAGTAGATACAGTTTAACCCAGTTCTGATGAGTGCTTTGCTTTGTGGTACACATAGTTAGCCACTCAAAGGGAAAATAAGGAGGGGAAATCATGTAATTTCCCAATTTTTTATGGTTTTGGCTATAGAATATAAGATTTTCTTGGAAACAAGTCTTAAAAGTGATGTGAAGCCTACCTTTGAAAGCTGTAACTCCTTAATCATTTGAGTAACAGCCAAACAAGCAAAACTGTTTAGCAGTCATGTCATGGTATATAATATCAGTAGCAAAATTTAACTACATGTATAGCCTGGAAAATGTTTTTTAAGTATCACTCAAAGAAGAAGTATTTGTTATATCCCCAATGAAACAAGAGACAAGGTGAAATGGGGAAAGGGAATGGGGAATGGAGGCAATTAGGCAGATTAGGGGGAAATGGCTAGATGGTAAATGAGAGATTGACAGACAGACAGACAAACCCCTAATCCTTTGCCAATTGTTGCCATGGGGGGAGTTGGGCTGAGGAAATGGAGATTAGGACCCAATGCTGGGATTACCTCTGCCTTGGCCTTCAGCCATTGCCATACAATTTTGTATGATTTTTTCTTCTCCCCCTTTCCTTTTCCATCTTTTCTTCCTCTTCTGTTCATATCCTAAAGTGTGAAAGCCATGCTGAAAAGATTAATGGCTAGCCATGTCAGTCCTGAACGGCCTAAATGTTCCATTTGCTCTCTCCTCTTTACCCTTTTCACTACCATACTAACCAACATCATTCTACAACCTTTGACATCTAACATGTTTTGTCCTAATTGTTAAGCTGTTGAATCTGGGCATGCGGCACGTAGGCCAGGCACACGCGAACACTTATGAACCAGGACAAGACTCCATTTTTTTGCCATTTTCCAATGTCCATTTTTGTCTTTTGATTTGCTTTATCCAGATGGTAATAGCTTATTTTCCTTGCACAAACTCCGTATCATCTCTCTATGTAGTAAATAACTCAGTGTAAGAAAAAAAACAAAAAAACATTTGGTTATTTGTGTCATATATCTTATTTTTTCATAATTTTAAATTTTGGGTAAAACAACCTGTGCCGCCAGCAACAACAGCTGGAAATATGATGCTGAGCATAGAAATATCTCTGAAACTGGCGCTCTTCCAGCCACAGCTTACGCACCTTACATTCCACATTTGTTTATCGATAAGAATAATGCAAAAGCCCCCCATCTAAGTGCCAAATTAATTTTCTTGCACAGACTCCATATCATCTCTCTATGGTGTAAATAACTCAGTGCAAGGAAAAAAAAAAGATAAAAATGGAACATTTGGTTATTTGTGTCATATATTTTTTTTCATAATTTTCAATTTTCTGTAATACATCCTGCTCCGCTGGTCACAGTGGCCAGGAATATGATGCTGAGCATGGAAATGGTGTCCTCCCTGGAGCCAGCGCTCTTCCAGTTACAAAATATATTCCACACTTGTTTATTGATGGGAATAATGCAAAAGCCCCTTTCTAAACACCAAATAAGTCTAATCACACTCCAAGAAGTTTGTGCACTCACTGTGAGTCTTTTTGATCACCCTATCCTTTGCTCATGACGGCAAGTTTGTGTCACCCAGCCTTTACTCACGAATGCAAGTTTGTGTCACTTGGCCTTCGGCCATTTTGTCCCATGGCTGCATTTTCACGTCACCCAGCCCTCGACCCAAATTTTCTTATGACAGCATGGTCTCATCACTCGGATCATAGTGGTTGATAACAGTAATAACAATATTTATTATTATAATTATATTGACAACCATTATAATCCTAATGTTAATACTACTGATAATATTGATGTTAGTAACCATGATGATAATAATGATTATAACAATGATGATAGTAATGATGTGTTTTGTTGTATTTCCCTTTGCCCACAAACTTTTGCTCAGACATTTCAATACAGACAGAATGCAATTTTCAAGGTGTTCCCACTTCATGTTTGCATTTTCATTTGCTATTCAGAACTTTGGGAGGGAGATGGTATAGTGATAATCCAATTTGCATTTCATATTACAGATTACATGTGTTTCTGTCAAAGTTGGATTTTGATCTGGTTGTCTTTCAACTTATTAACCCCATGCTGCTGGGTGGCATGTACGAACATGCCATGTGGTCCAAGTAGGGGGTGGCACCATATCATAACCATTTCCATGTTGTAGGCTAGTCCTAAGGAGCTTGTTTTTCTCTGTTAGTAGCGGCATCATTTCAATTTTGAAACTTTTAGGCAATAGCATGTTTTTTTTAATGATATCAAAATATAAGTGTTTAGGTGCCTAATGTTGCCCACAAACAACCGAATGAGCCGGGCATAAACAGTGGAAACTATCATCCTTTACTACGGCTGCAGAGAGAGCTCATCTCTTTGCAATAGGTATCAAGATTAGATACAGGCACATAGTGTATTACTTCCATATTTTCTCTCATTTTCTGTACAGTAAACTTATCTATTTCATATTGCAGATTGACCAGTTACTCCACCGCCAGTCTGCCGTGGAAGAGCAGCTTCGAGCAGCAAAGAAGCTTGTGTTCATCATGCTTGTGGCCATGATTGTAGTGCTTATATTCCTCATCACAATTACGAACAACAACCTTCATGCACACACCGCAGCGATGCAGAGCGCAAACACTATCATCAGCCAAGCTAGTCATGGGGAACAGGGTAGCCACGTGGAGCTATAGCGCTTCCGTGCTCTATAATTATAAGCTGTCAGAAGCTCATTCGAGAATGGCTTTGGTCGTTGAGTCCTTTAAAGATTTAAAGAGAGGCTTGATATACGAGTGTAGAATCACCCTTGAGGTCGTATTGAATGGAGGGAGGGGGGAGGGGGCGGATGACTTTACAGTCATTTTGCATGAGAAGTTTGTCACGTTTGTGAGTGTTGTAGAGAGTGCTATTATAGTCTAGGGAGTTGTAAATAGATAATGAATACCTTTACTAGAGGCTTTTTATATGTTTAATGGCATTTAAGAATACCTTTA